ATGTTTTCTACTTGTATGTCCCTAATGGAGTCGAGTAAAAAGCCAACTCTTAACAATATTAACTACGAACAAAGCCATAGATAGATAGATAATGGGCGTGATGAATAGATAGATAGATAGATAGATAGATAGATAGATAGATAGATAAATAGATAGATAGATAGATAGATAGATAATAGGAATGATGATAGATAGAGATATAGATAATGTGAATAATGAATAGATAAATAGATAGATAGAAAACGGAAATTATGAATCGATAGATAGATAATGGGCTTGATAGATAGATAATGAGAATGATGGCAGATAGATAAATAGATAATGATAATCAAGAACATATATATATATATATATATATATATAACGGGAATAATGGGAATGATATATATATATATATATATAGATAGATATATGTAGGTAGGTAGATCGATAATATGAATGATGAATAGATAGATAGATATGAACAGAGATAGATAGATAAATAGATAATGTGAATGACAGATAGATAGATAGATAGATAGATAGATTGAGAGATTGATGTATATAAAAAGAGAAAGAGACAGATATGTAAAAATTGAGACAGACAGATAGATATGAAAAAAACGAGATAGATAGATGGATAGATAGATAGATATGAATGAAAGAGGTCGTAGGAAATTAAATTTATGAAGATATGGTGGATAAGCGATGACTGACCCTTGACTTGAAGAGGTTAATATTGTAGTGTCGAGAGTTACTGTTAAAATGGTTATTATCAATGTGGTGTGTGATATGAAAATATAAGATGATATGACAGGAAGAAGCTATTATAGGCATATGTTGGATACAGAATGGTTGACCCTTGATTTGGAGAGATTTATATTGTAGTATGCATCGAAGCATTCGCGCAGTTCTTGGTAAAAAAGGGGCTATTTTTGTGGAACTTGCTTCTTGCACAGGGCATAGGATGGAAATAACATTGATTCGACACCTTGGAGGTAACATATCCATGATGTAAAGTAGGAATTAGTGTAGCTGAAGAATGAAGCACATCTGAACATGGAATTGGTGACAATGATAGTCTTGAAAATTTACATCTTTGGAAAATTTGCTAAAGCCTGGATAACACCTCCCTTCAGAAGACCACGTAAATAATTTTGTATTCTATCCATGCTAGAAATTGGGATCGGATCTATTTCAGTCCAGATATACCAGCAATACTACATTTTTAGACTAATTTACCGATCTTCCTGATATCATAGGTTCCCAAGTAGGCATCTATGCGGACAACACTACTATTTACTGCTGCCTCAAAAACAAATCTAGTGTCGCCGACAAAACTAACCTGACCGTTTGTCTTGAAAAGGACCTCCAATCGGTTGTGGACTGGGGCAGGTATTGGCTGGTTGACTTTAATGCTTCAAAAACAAAATTGCTCCCTGCCTCCCATTAGAATGTCTGACGCTCAACTCTACGAGAGAACCTCTTTGCGACTGCTCGGTCTCACATTGTCTGCTGACCTGAGATGGAAAGAATACATTGATTCAATAGCTCCGTCCACCGCAAGGAAAGTTGGTTCCCTGTGACGTGTCAGGAAATTCTTCTCGCTTGAGTCAATCCTTCAAATCTACAAATCAACCATTTGCCCACGCATGGAGTATTGCTGTCATATATGGTCTGGTGCTCCTTCTATTTCCCTCAAGGTCCTTGATAAAATCCAAAGACGGATATGCAATGTAATTGGCCCTGATCTGACATCTCGTCTGCAGTCGCTCTCTCACAGACGTGCCGTTGACTCCATCTGTCTTTTTTTTTACAAATACTTTCACGGTAACTGCTCCGATGAGCTGCTTTCGCTGTTTCCCAGACTTCATGAATTTAAGCGTTCAATTAGGCTGGCATCTCGCTCCCACCCTTTCACTGTTGAAACTGTTAAATGTAGCCGACTCTTCTACTCCAATAGCTTCATGTCTCGCACTTCTCGCCTGTGGAACTCCCTCCCCATTTCTTGTTTCCCTGATAGCTATAATCTCCAACTATTCAAATGTAATGTCACTCGACATCTCCAGATGCCTTGATCTGTCCCTTATCCTTCTCTTCATCCTTTCCTCTATCACTCCTATTTGTTCTCGCTGCAACTCTTTTGTAACCCCTTGTGTACTAGTTAGTGGCTTCCCGCTTTCCTTCGGGTGGAATGCTTAAAAAAAATTGATTCTTTTAAAGATGCAGTATGTCTGTTGGCGGTAGTTGCTTTCTAGCGGATGACCTGATTATTACTCCAACATCTTTAGCAATGAATTATATATAAGAGTTCTATGTGAGGTCTGGAGTGAAATTGTGGCGAAAATAACATTCAAATTATGGAGTCTCATTAAGTGTTGAATCGTTCTTTGTTTCTGGCGAAAACTCGGTATCTACACATTTAGTTAGAAATATCTGAAAATGGCGAAATAGAATTTGCCTCATTTTTTATTTCTTTTTTTTTTTACACAGGACGCAAAAAATTCTCTTGTTCAGTCATTTTCAATTCGACGCACATCGTACATGTTTGCCCTTCGTTTTATCTGGCGACGCATACACACACACGCACACACGCACGAGAAATTTGTGAATTAATGTCTTCCTTGAGTATCAATTTTTTTTCGATTGCAATTTTTTTATAATTCTGCAAATTTTACCGAATACATTCGGTTTTTTTTGGTAATCGACGCTCTTTTATTCAATTTTTATTCACGCTGTCTGTTTAACTATCGCTTTTCTATCTATCTATCTATCTATCTATCTATCTATCTATCTATCTCAGTCTCGTCATATCTATCTATCTATCTATCTATCTCAGTCTCGTCATATCTATCTATCTCTCAGTGTCGTCATATCTATCTATCTTTCTCAGTCTCGTCATATCTATCTATCTATCTATGTATCTATCTATCTATGTATCTATCTATCTATCTCTCAGTGTCGTCATATCTATCTATCTATCTATCCATCTATCTATCTATCACAGTGTCGTCATATCTATCTATCTATCTATCTATCTCAGTTTCGTCATATCTATCTATCTATCTCAGTGCCGTCATATCTATCTATCTATCTATCTATCTATCTATCTATCTATCTATCTATCTATCTCAGTGTCGTCATATCTATCTATCTATCTATCTATCTATCTATCTATCTATCCTCAGTTTCGTCATATCTATCTATCTATCTATCTATCTATCTATCTATCTATCTATCCATCTATCCCAGTGCCGTCATATCTATCTATCCATCTATCTATCTATCTATCCATCCATCTATCTATCTATCCCAGTGTCGTCACATCTATCTATCTATCTATCTATCTATCTGTCCCAGTTTCGTCACATCTATCTATCTATCTCAGTGCCGTCATATCTATCTATCTATCTATCCATCCATCCATCCATCTATCTATCTCAGTGCCGTCATATCCATCTATCTATCTATCCATCCATCTATCCCAGTGTCGTCATCTATCTATCTATCTATCTATCTATCTATCCATCCATCTATCTATCTCAGTGCCGTCACATCTATCTATCCATCTATCTATCCATCTATCCATCTATCTATCTCAGTGTCGTCACATCCATCTATCTATCTATCTATCCATCCATCTATCTATCTATCTATCTCCAGTTTCGTCATATCTATCTATCTATCTCAGTGCCGTCATATCTATCTATCTATCTATCTATCTATCTATCTATCTATCTCAGTGCCGTCATATCTATCTATCTATCTATCTATCTATCTATCTATCTATCTCAGTGCCGTCATATCTATCTATCTATCTATCTATCTCAGTGTCGTCATATCTATCTATCTATCTATCTATCTATCTATCTATCTATCTATCTATCTCAGTTTCGTCATATCTATCTATCTATCTCAGTGCCGTCATATCTATCTATCTATCTATCTATCTATCTATCTATCTATCTATCTCAGTGTCGTCATATCTATCCGACAGCCTATATTTCATACTCTCTCTCTCTCTCCCGAAACCTAATAATCTAAATATGTGTTTACTTTCTTTTGCATTTTCTAACGTTTTCTAAATTTGTTCACGTCGGTCTATATCAATTGAGATCCACTTTTCGCTCCCTTGCTCTTTTTCCTATCTCTCTCTCATTTGCATAAACAGTTTTCTTTCTTTCTTTCTTTCTTTCTTTCTTTCTTTCTTTCTTTTTTTCTTTTGTTTTGTTTTGCTTTTTTTTTTTGTTCTTCCATTTTCTTCCTTTTTTTGATTTCTTTTTTATATTGTTTTTTTTTCTTCACTCATTTTTTCCTACCTTATTCATCTTTTTTATTTATTCCTTGCTCTTTTTTTTTTTTAATATCCGTTCGTTTCTTTCTTTATTCGTTTTGTTTCGTTTCTTTCTTCCTTTCTTTTTTTTCATTTCCTTCTTCCTTTTTCTTCTTCGGACTCTTTTTTTCCACTCTTTCTTTGCTTCATTTCGCCCGTTCCCTTTTTTTTCTTTTTTTCTTTTTCCGTTCGTTCTTTTTTTTCTTTTTGTTCTTTTTTTCCTTTTCTTTCTTGCTTCTTTCACTTTATCCATTCTTCCTTTTCTTCATTCCATCCAATTCTTTCTTTCTTTCTTTCTTTCTTGTCCTTATATTAAGTCTTGTGTCTTCTTTACCCATCACCTACCTTTCATTTCATTTCGTCTGCTACACAATCAGTATCCTTCCTTCCTTCCTTCCTTCCTTCCTTCCTTCCTTCCTTTCCCTTATTTCTTCTGACACAGGCATTCGCACAAAACACTTACTCTGTTCCTGCTTATTTGAGATGAATTTATTGCGAAATACCTTCAAAGAAAACACTGATAAAAATGGTACAAATATCTAAACAACAATGATTATCTTTTTTTTTATTTCAGTTTTTATTCATTATATACGTTTTTTTTTTATTATTATCTTTATAGCTTCTCTTTTTTTTCTTCTTTTCAAATTATGGCGCCCTTCCAAAAGATTCAATGCTGTTACCGTCTTCTTTCTTCTTCAAACTTGTTCACTTTCCCTCTCTCTAGAGTCGGTGAAGCCTGTTCACCTGTCATTAAGGGGGTCTCCATAGATTCGTACATCCAAAGCGAGGCTCATGTCAGATGTCAAACTATAACGCTTCACTTGGCAGATGGTGTTACTTTGTGATCCTAAGCGGCCTTACCCAACATGGCAGCTCCTTCTATGAGGGGCGATACTTTTCGCGGGTTTCCTGTGACGTTCGGCGGAAAGATGTCCGACAGAATAGCCTTCAGGGAACACTCTGCCTCGTCTACCAGTCGCCATGAGTAGGAGATTTTGCATGTCACGGCATTTATACACTGTGTATTATTATTGAGATGGCGGGGTGAGGGATGATTTTAGAAATGGCGGAATAGAGGATAAGGTCGTGGCGGGGGTTACGCTTATGAATAAAAAGATGGAAGTAGACGCCGAAGATAAGTTGCAGATACGGGCAAACGCCATCGGTTTGAAACAAATTAAGAAAATTTTTTTTTTTTTTAACTAATTTCGAAAGTAATTTATTTTGTAAATCGATCGAAATATTTTGAAAAAAAAAAAACTTTCTTTTTTGCTTCATATTTTTTACTCCTTTTTACAAATTTTATTTTAATTTATATTTTTTTAAATCAATTAACACAAGCAAGGCGATAATGCTGCTAAGACGCAAAGGGTTACTAGGAGTGAAAGACAATGATAAGATTTTAGAAGGAACCCAATATTAAACATGAAACAAGGGATAAACGCCTACTTATGTTCAAAAGACTCGGGAGAAGTGTGAACCGGACGATAAGCGAACCTATCACCTTCTACTGAGAAAAGAATTATATATATATATATATATATATATATATATATATATTGACTGATACGATTAAGAAGTATAGAGTTGGTGCAGACTATAGAAGGAACCGGAAACCCACTCCTAAACTGAAGACAAGGGATAAACCTCTACTCCTGTTCAAAAACCGGGGAGGAGTCCGAACCGGACGATAGGCGAACCTATCTACACCTGTTGGGAGAGCAAGGAAATGACTACTGAATAAAAGTTCAGATTTTTTCAGGTGGGGTCGTCAGAAGTACAGAGTTCAAGGCACCAGAAATCCAATCCTGAACAGCAGACAAGGGATAAACCTCTACTCCTGTCCCCCAAACCGGGGAGGAGTCCGAACCGGACGATAGGCGAACCTATCTACTCCTATTGTGAGAGGAAGGAAATGATTAGTGAATAAAATTTCAGATTTCAGGTGGAGACCTCAAAAATACAGAGTACAAAGAACCAGAAACCGAATCTTAAAGAGCAGACAAGGGATAAACCTTTACTCCTGTTCAAAAACCGTGGAGGAGTAAGAACCGGGCCATAGGAGAAAGATAGTGAATTGGTTTATTTATCTACGAATTTGAATTCACTGTATTTTTCTCTCCTCAAGATGTAAGCGTTTCTTTATTACCTGAGGATTTCCAGGGTAAATGACAATTCATTGATTTGTCGTTGCTACCTTCATGATGTTGAATTCCGAGAATTCTTTCTCCTAGACTAGATCCCAACTAAGGCTAGAAAGAACAGTCTACCCTGTTATATAATACATAGATGGGAGTAGGGATAAAATTCAATTCATGTGTTTTTGTTGTAACCTAAAAAGGGTTACTGAATGAAGATAACCAAAACGGAGGTTAGAAATTAAATGGCAATCATTATAACACCAGGAAAATACAATACTCGCCAGCGGCGTGAACTAGGTAAACCACTGCTAGTGATGGACTACATAGACACCATGTTAACCCAAATTGTAACAGTGTCCAACATATTTATGTGGATTAGGACAAACCCTTTAGTTTTCATAGGTATGGTATATAACAGTTTTCAAATGAAATTTTCGCGGAAGTGAACAAAAAAGACAAGGTTTGGATTTGAACTAGGCTAGCCCATTTCACTCTCCTCTCTTTCAATCATTTTCATACCTTCACATATTATTAAATCACTACTTCTGAATTTCACTTCTTCATACAGTTCCTCAGATCGTCATTCTACGACCGTTTATAAATAGAACGAAAACAAGCAATAAAGTCCCAGCAAGATTCAAACTCATCTCCCACCATTTGTTTTCAAGAGAAGCCTGTTTTTTGCACGATAGCTGTTTTGCCGATTTAGCTAGGAATAATTACTGCCTACGGAAAAACATATACAACTTTAATTCTTCTATTTTCCGGGACATCATATTCATTAATATTTTCAAACTATGTTTTCACACATATGTGATTATTAATAGTAAAATATGTGATTATGATAACAGCTATCGTAAAGTGGAAATCAAATGAGCCGAGTTCATATCCCGACCTCGATATTCGCGTTTACATCTGCCCTACAGTTTAAATATTAGGGTAGACCAGGCTCTCTAGCCTTGGATAGAAACTAGTCTAGAAAATGGGAGACTAAATTCAAATTGTTGAGAAAACTATTTTACCCAAAAGATAACGGAAACTAACACA